TATAATATAATACATATTTATAAAATTAATTTAAAAAAAATTTTTTTAAAATTTTAATTTTTTATAAAAGTAAATTAGAAGGGAATTTATAGTAAATAAGCAGGCAAATTTGCCTACAAACCTCTACAATATAAGGGATAAATTAAAAAATTGATCAAATAATTGATAAAATAGAACTAAGAAAAAGCTAATTTAAAAATAAAATAAACAAATTTACTGATGATAAAAATATTCAAAAGAAATTGAACATCTATAGAAGGATTTCAAACAATTATTTGACAAAAAGATAGAATCAGATCCAAATTTTTCATTTAATAAAATGGTCATTAAAATTTGTAAATTACTTGGAAAAGGAAAAGGTATTACTACTTCTACAATAAAAAATTTTTACCAATGAAAAACAAATCCTAGAAGAAAAATGATAGAAGTAATTCAGGAGTAGATCAATAAGGAAAAGAAGAAAGAGGTAGAAAATGAAACTGAAGAAGATAATGAAAATGGAGAAAATATAAATATTAATAATAACATTATTAATAATAATAAAAATAGTAATAATAGTGACAGTTAAATTTTTTGTCAAAATACTTAAAGAATAGTTAATACTTATAAATGGTTTTGGATCTGAGTATTTTCCTCCTATGCAAATACTTTACAATTTTTTTTTCTATTATAAGTTAAAAAATAAAAAATAATTTTCGTTTAATTCGTAAATAAATTCTAAGTCATATACTACTAATTTATCATTAGTCAAATTATTTATAGAAAATAATAAAAAAATTTTTTTTTTTAAAAATTAATTTTAAATATTTTTTTTAATTTTAAAAAATGACATCTGTTGAAGAAATCAAACAAGAGTTAAAAAATGCAAAAGAAAGATTAAGGATGGTAAAAGAAATAGGAAGAGAGGAGAATAGTGAGAAATAACTAGGGAAGTTGAGAGAAAAAATGAAAAGAAAAGAAGAACTTGATGAAAAAGAGAAAAAACAATTGGTAAGATTAGAGAAAGAAAAAGAAGAGTTGGATGGAAAGAAGAAATTTTGGAAAGGAAAGATCAGTAAGTAAAGGGATGAGTTAACTAAGTTTAGCAAAGAAAGAGTAACGAATAAATTGTGTAAAAAAAAAAAATAATATTTTTTGTTCATTTCATTTCATTTATCTGTGAAAATATTCGAACTACTAAACAATGATTAAGCATAAATTATTGAATTATATATACATTTATCAATTTCATTCAGATTTTAAAGAAAGATGAAATGTGAAAATTTATCTGCAATCCTGAAATAAGTAAGGGAATATAGGTCAAAAGAAATGAGACTATTAGAATTCATAGAATCATTTGATGCTAAATTTACCTTTCTTGCTTATAAAGATGCTATAAATAATCTCTGAAATAGTAGTAAAATTAATCCTAATGGTATTCTAAAACATTTCTATTGCTTTTGCAATAAATATAGTGATTGTAATCTGCATCTAATTCTTTTTCTTACCTTAGTCCTAGCATAGGAAAGGGCAGGCTTTTACAAAAGATTTATAATATTCTTTATAAAAAAGTTTAAGAATTAAAGAATGATGAAATTATATTTATTTTTAAAGATATTGTTTATCTGAATGTTATATATGGCAATAGTTTAGTAGCTTAAGAATCAGATAAGAAAATTGGTAGAAAAGCTTCATTGGCAATTAGGATTTTTTACAGCTACTTTATACATAGAAACAAAGATTTAGGTTATAATGGTATAATAAACCATTATATCTAAGATACAATAAAACTATTATTTCTAAGAAATAATAAATGCATTATTCCTTAGAAATGATAAGATACAATAAATGCATTATTTCTTAGAAATGATAAGGTATGATAATACTATTATTTTTTAAGAATAATAAGATACAATAATATTATTATTCCTTAGGAATAATAAATCTATCATATCTAAGGTATGATAAATGCATCATTCTTTAGAAATGGGTATAATAATATTATTGTTTCTTAAGAATAATAAATCTATTATACTTAAGGTACAATAAATGTATCATTCCTTAGAAATAATAAGATATAATAATATAATCATTCCTTAAGAATGATAAGGTATAATAATATCATCATTCTTTAAGAATAATAAAACTATTATAACTAAAGTACAATAACTAAATTATTTCTTAGAAATGATAAGATACAATAATACTATCATTTTTTAGAAATAATAAAACTATCATACCTATGATAAAACTATTATTTTTAAGGAATAATAAAACTATTGTATCTTAAAAATGATAATACTATTATTCCTTAGAAATAATAATACTATCATATTTAAGGAACGATATAATCATTTCAATCAGACATTAATCAGCTATAATAAGATAGGTTAAATTTTTGATGTATACCAATTGACTATAAATATGCAAATCAGTTATAAATAAGATAGATCGAATTTTGATTGATTCTTAGTTGATTTCTGATGTATGTTAATTAGCTAGACTGATTTTTAATAATTTTCTAATTTTAAGCTGATTTTAGGCCAATTTTTCACATGTCTAATTTTTTGATTTTGACTAATGAGATAGAAATGCAAAAATAAAGTTTAGTAAAAGCATGAATTAGTTAAATAAAAATCAAAAATAATACAGTTTACTTATATCATCTAAAAGTTCTATACAGAATATTATAATTAGCTATAAATAAGCTAAGTCAAATTTTGGTTAATTCTTAGCTGATTTCTGATGTATGCTAATCAGCTAGGCTAATTTTTAATAATTTGCTGATTTTAGATTGATTTTAAACTGATTTTTCACATGTTTAATTTTTTGATTTTGATTAGTATATAGTTATATTATGATTAATCTATATTTTATTTATATTTTATTTTATTAGATAATTTATAATTCTAATTGAAACAGCATAGTGGGCTTTCATTATGATTGGCTAATTTTTGTTGATCAATTTTTGTTATTGCTAAAATTCTATTGATTGATAAAGTCATATGATCAAATCATAAAATTGTTAATCAAAGGATATTCAAGTATAATAAATAATAATTTAGTTAAATAAATAAAATATTTAATAAAAAAAATTTTATAAAATTAGTTTCTTTTTATTTTTATTTATATAAATATTAAATATGTTATTTTTTTGACTACATTTTATATATAAAACAGCAAATTTCATCAAATTATACATTTGTTAAAGTATTTATAGCATTTTTTAAAAGTAAATCTATATTATTATCTAAAAAAAAATCTTCACTACCAATATTAGTATTATCAGTGGTTTCAGTATCATCTGATTTATTTCTACCTTCATTTATATCTATTTTGTCAAACAAAGTCAAAGTTTTCTGATAATTTTTACAATTTTTTTTAATTTCGCTTACAAGATAATCAGTACAATATTGACATTGACTTTCTAATTTAAATAAGAAACACTCAAAATGATAAGTATATTCATAAATTAAAATATAACTTATTTCACATGAATCTACGTAATCTTTCAAATCACAATATTTATCTTCTTTGGGAAGGTGTACTGTATTCTTAGTCATTATTAAAATTTTAATATCAACTTAAATTTCAAGTGTTAGAAGCTCATATATTTTTGATTTTGAATGTATATTAGATAGAACAATTTTTGAATTACCAAGATTTTGATAGACATCTGTAAAAAGATTTAATAGAAAAATTGCGGTCTGTTTTTCAAGATATTCCAATTACTTTGCTGAATATCTGATATTGTGATTCTCAGCAAACATGTCTGTAAAAGAAATATTATCACGTATCTGATTAGTTACTTACGTTTGTCAAATAATCTGTTTCACTGTATTTGATTTCTATATTTATTACTGAAGTAAGTTATAGAAATTTTCTACATAATAATCATTAAAAATATAAAGGAAATCTGCAAGAACTTATGAAATAGGATGATTAGTACTAATCCAGTAAAAATATCACTTAAAAATGCTAATAGAAGTTTGTTATAGTTTCTATGCTTATATTGAAAGAAAATAGTCTAAATACGAAATATTGTCTCTTTATATGTCATCTAATTTCCACTACAAAATATAACAGAATAGAAATCTAAAACCAATAGGATGATATTATCCAGTAAATTGATAAGATACTGAACTTTTAGATCTTTGAACAATTCGAATTTTTGTAAAATGATTAAACACACTTGAGACCAACCCTGAAATACAAGTTCAAGTATCAAATTAATTTTGTAAGGTTTTGGTTTTTTTGCCAATATCTT